CTGCCTCTGCCTCTGCCTCTGCCTCTGCCTCTGCCTCTGCCTCTGCCAAGTGTTGGGATTACAGGCATGAGCCACGGTGCCCTGCTTTCTTATAGCAACCAGGACCACATTCCAAGGATGGCACCACTCACCAAGCCTGGGCCCTCCCACATCAATCACTAATTAGGAAAATTTCTTACAGCCCAGTCTAATGGGGGCATCGTCTAGGTTAAGATTCCCACCTCTCAGATGACTTTAGCTTGTGTCAAGTTGACATAAAGCTAGCCAGCACACCCAGACACCCCAGGGAGCCACTAAGATGTTCTTTCCTGCCAAGGTGGCCTCTGGGCTGAGCACTGTGGAGCACCGGATCAGAGAGTCTAGAGTCTCCTTGGAAAAGGACACCAAGGTCCTGTCAGAGCTGCTGGCCAAGCTGGGTAAGGAGACCCCAAGGGGAGTCCCTGAGGGGCAGTCATAGAGTACACGTCTCCTTGTCCTAAAATCCATGGCTTCCACTTCTATCCTGTCACCTATCACCACAGGGTTTGTGTAGGGCAGGGTAGGTGTCTGGAACTGAATTCACTGCTTCCTCTAGTCTGGTGAGTCTGGTTTGGGTTGGAGGAGACAGAGAACCCCCTATGTTCCAGGACACTCTTGGGTTCCCCATAGGTGAGTTGTCAGTTAGAGAGTGGAAAGGATGATGGAAAAGCAAGGGGCACGTTGGTGATTAGGACTCGATTTGGAATTTGACCAACACGCATTCAAGGCTGGCATTCAAGGTCCCCCTGGGTGGGGGACTGTCACTAGGCCTCTGAGTTGGTTTCCCCACCTGTGAAGCAAGACTGAGAAAGTGCACAGGGAGAAGTCTGCAGACACTGGCTCACAGAACAGAAGGAAAATTCCAGAGGAAGCCCGGTGGGGTAGCTCATGCTCATAGGCCTAGCCCTTGGGAGGCTGAGGCGGAAGGATAGCCTCAAGTTCTAGGCCAGCCTTGGGTGCCTAGTGAGAGCATGTTTCAAGAAAGAATGTGGGCTGAAGAAATGGCTCAGCTGTTAAAACCCACCTGCTTCCTGCTCTTCCAGAGGACCAGCACCCATAGCATCCACATCGGCAGCTCAAAACACGGAGAGATCTGTCTCAAAAGCTCCAGGAGATCCAGTACCTTCTTCTGGCCTCTTCGGGCCCCCGCATACATTCACATAGTCATACATACACAAACATAGAAATAAAGAAATCTTTTTTTGTTTTTGCTTTTTGAGACTGGTCTCTCTGTGTAGCTAGCCCTGTCTGTCCTGGACTCACTCTGTAGACCAGGCTGGCCTGGAACTCTGCCTCCCGAGTGCTGGGATTAAAAGCATGCACCACCATTCGTATAAAAATAAATAAATAAATCTTAAAAAACAGAAAGAAAGAAGAGAATGAAAAGGAAATTCCAGGTAGGCTCTAGAAAAGAGCACATATTTGAATGGCTATCGCCTTTTGGATGAAGGGCTGGTACGCGTTCAGGCTTGGGGGTCCAGGACAATGGTCAGAGAAGTTGGGCTGGAATGAACGGCATCCATTTTTAAAAATGGTGGTAAGATATGCATAACACAAGGTGTAGTTTTCATGGACACGTTTAAGTACACATTTTCATGACTGGGTTAATCAGCTTTCCGTTAGTGTGACAAATGGCCTGAGATAATCCACTTCAAAGGAGGAGAGATTTAGGTGGGGAATGTAGCTCAGTGGTGGAGTGCCTATGCAGCAGGCACAAAGCCCTGGGTTCCGTCCTTCCCAAGCAAGACAGTCCAAGGCGACAAGGAGAGAAAAGGTTCCCATTGGCCCTTGGTTTGAGTCTTTGGCAGCCCTGCCCTTCCTGGTGACAGCACGCGGTTGGGGAGGCCTGGTCACCTGATGGCAGCCAGGAAGGAGCAGAAGTGCCAATATCCCCCTGGGTGCACATCCTCTAGCCCTAGCTTCCTCCCACCAGGCCCTACCTGTGAAAGAGTCCACCTCACGCCACAGGCCAGAGACCCCGAGCCCCAGTGCCTGGGCCTCTGTCCTTAAATATATTCACATTGTTGGTACCCCATCCCACCATCCATCTCCGGAATTTGCTTGTCTTTCCAAACGGAAGGGGCCCCTTAAGCAAGGGCTCTCTGTCACCTCTCCTGGTCACCGGCCTCCTTTCTATGGCTGTGACTTCTCTGGGAAACTTAATTAAGTAGACTGAGGGGGTGCTTTCTTTTTAAAAGTTAAGACCTATTTCTTTATTTGTGTGAGTGTGCACGCACATGCTTTATGGGTGTGTAAGCCTGTGTACTCATGTGGAGGCCAGAGGGAGACTTCGAGTGTCTTCTCTGTCTCTCTCCACATTATTTGTTTATTTTTACTTTTCTTTTTAAATATTTATGTGGTTGCTGGGAATTGAACTCAGGACCTTTGGAAGAGCAGCCAGTACTCTTAACCTCTGAGCCATCTATCTCTCCAGGCCCTATTTTCACTTTTGAGACAGGGTCTCATTATTTAGCTTAGGCTGGCCTGGACCTAATTGTGTAGACCAGGCTGGCCTGGATCTCACGGAGATTTTTCTGCCTCTGCTCAACTGAGTACTGGGATTGAAGCTGTGTGTCACCGTGCCAGGCTACTCATTTATTGTTAAGGCTTTTATTTATTTTTGGACAAGGTCTCATGTAGGTCAGGCTGGTCCCCAGCTCACAGAGGTCGGCCTGGCTCTGGCTTTCAGGTACTAGATTAAAAGCATGTACCACTGTGCCTAGCTTATATCTATTTTACACTACTCTTTTATTTGGTGTGTCTCTATGTGCACTTGCCATGGTATGCAGACGAGTATGTGCTCGAGCACACACACACACACACACACACACACACACACACACACATGCTTTCACTAAATCAATAAACATAAAGAACATTTAAAGAATGCAGTTCCTAAGCACTGCCACCTCAGGAAGTTAGGACTCCATCGGTGGGTAAATCCATTGATGATGTTAGGGTATCGATGGTTCAGTCTCCTTCAGCTGTGGACCAAGTTTTTAACCCATGAGCACTGTAGGAGGCACTTTGTATCCTTCTATCTGTAACTGCCTGACAGCCCTCCTCTGCCCCTTCTTGCCCTCTGACCTCATGTTCTTAGCCTGGGAAGTTCAAAAGGACCTGGAAGGATGAGAAGCCACTCGAGGCTGAGTCCTACCTGTCAACTCCCCAGTCACTTGAGCCCCATTTTTCTGCTGAATGTCACGCTTGATGACAAAGTGACAAAGGTACCTGGGATTCCATGCTACTGTCGCCACACCTCTCTCACACAGTTTTGTGATGTGGCGTCTGGTGTTTGGAGGGGACTCACTGAGGCCTTTGCAAACAAGATTACTGGCTCAGGAAATGGCTCAGGGGGTGAAGGCACCTGCCGCCAGGCTTGAGCATTTGTGTTCCAGCCCTCCGCCCCACCTGGTGGAGGGAGAGAATGGGTTCCCACAAGTTGTCTACAAGTTGTCCTCTGACTTCTACATGCTCCCCCCCCCCATAGGAAATAAATATGTATAAATAAAGTATTAGGAATAAAAATCCTGTCAGACAGTGGTGGCACACCTTTAATTCCAGTGCTCAGGAGGCAGAGGCAGGTGGATCTCTGTGAGTTCAAGGCCAGCCAGGCCTTCAAAGGGAGATCCACGACAGCTACACAGAGAAACACACACACACACACACACACACACACACACACACACACACACAC